CAGCGCTGTCAGAGATCTCGGGCTGCCCCATGCCCCAGCTCGATCCCCGCGTGCTGGAGGTCTACAAGGGCGTCCGAGAGGTAAGGCCAAGGCAGCTCTGCCCTGGAGCCTGGCAAACGCCACGCTGAGCCCCACCGCCCCTGCCCCTGCTGTCCCCATCCTCACTCTGCGTGGGCAGTCCTGTGGATTAACTGCAGTTTGTGTAGCATCCATCAGTGAAGGACCCAGAGAGTTTCTGAGTGACAATTTCCAGAGCACCGTGCTTGGGATAATCCTAAAACGATCCTTTCTTAGGACCTGGGATGGTCCTTTCTTACCAGAGGTGCTAAGGGAGGGGACAGCTTTCTCGTGGGCATGAGACAAGTTCCACAGCCCGGCCTGTATCCGTGTCTTTTAAGGTGCTGTCCAAATACAGGAGCGGGAAACTGCCCAAGGCGTTTAAAATCATTCCTGCCTTGTCCAACTGGGAGCAGATCCTCTACATCACAGAGCCAGAGACGTGGACAGCAGCTGCCATGTACCAGGCCACCAGGTAAGATCATCTCTGGGAGATGCTGATGGGGGGTTTTTTTAGTTCTTTCCCTAACTGGAAAGAGATTTACAAAATACCAGTCTATCCCCTGCTTGGCCTTTCTCCACACCTCACTTTGTGCTTTGCTTTTACCAGAATATTTTCATCCAACCTGAAAGAGAGAATGGCCCAGCGGTTCTACAACCTGGTGCTGCTGCCACGGGTCAGGGATGACATCGCTGAGTATAAGCGCCTCAACTTTCACCTCTACATGGCTTTGAAGAAGGCTCTGTTCAAGCCAGCAGCCTGGTTCAAAGGTAGGGACTCCCTGCAGGGCTGCCGTTCCTGCCCGGGAGCCTCTTGCCATCTGGGAAGCTCAGCAGGGGCACGTGTTGCATGCCACTGCCCAGTGTGACAGGGCAGTGTGCCCTGCGTGGCGTCGCCCTGGGGGCTCAGTGGGGAGGAGAAGACGTGAAAGAGATGCAGGGAGTTCCCCCTTGGTGGACGAGGCGGCTTCCAAACCCCCAGGGGCCACTTTGTGGTGTTCAGGGCAGAAGGGTGATGAGTGCCATAGGCCTGCACCGGTGCTGCCAGTGAGAGCTCGCAGGTATTTGGGTTCTTGTGGAGGCTGATGGCAGGTTACAGACTGTGTTGGGTCTGATCTCAGTCTTGTCTGGCAGCCTGAGGGTGTTTGGGACTAGCTGCATGGCAGGGAGATGCTGTTATTTCCTGGGGTCCGATGTGTCCTGGAATAGAAGGGGCTCACTGCAGCAGTCAGAACCCTGTGATTTAGGAGAGGTGGTGCCTGACTCTCTCCCCTTCACAGGGATCCTCATTCCCCTGTGCGAGTCAGGGACCTGCACGCTGCGGGAGGCCATCATCATCGGCAGCATCCTCACCAAGTGCTCCATCCCCGTCCTCCACTCCAGGTAACGCACTGGGAGGCTGTGCGGGGCAGAGGTTCTCCTTTAGGGACACTGGTGCAACGCCTTGGATCTGTTCCTCAGCCTCTCCAGCATCTTGGAGGCGGAGGGGTTCGCTCAGCTCCCTTGGGGTTGGGGTTTGAGGCTCAGCGCCGAGTTTGTCATCTTTGTGCCTGGGTGCCTGCTGCCCCATGGCTCCTGCCTTCACCTCGGTGCTCGCTCCGTCCCCGCAGCGCGGCCATGCTGAAGATCGCCGAGATGCAGTACAGCGGCGCCAACAGCATCTTCCTGCGGCTGCTCATCG